CTGGGGGCCCACCACAATTCTTTAAATAGTAAAGTCCAGGGAGTAAGCCCCAAGTTTCCTGGCTTTAGGGCAAGTGTTCTTTCTCCTATACTCTGATGCCTCTATGTCAACAAGCAACTGGATTGACAATTTGAAACTTACTATCTGTCCACTACTTTTTAATACAAAAAATTTTATTTGTTCAGATTTTAGCCTATCTCTACACCAGCTGATTAACAGTCCTCCTTAAGAGATATTCTTACTCAATGAAATAGATATGACTCTCTTAACACTAATCTGTAGTTTTATATTTAGTAAGTATGAGAGACTAAATAAATAATACCTAGGTTTTATATATCTTCATAATAAAATAATAACCTATAAGAATTGGAACTTAAATAGTCAGCTAGACTGTTTCTATGGTAACACAATGAGGAAAATAATCAGATGGCATAAAATATATTTTAATTCCAATACATTGGTTCACAGCTTTAATAACATTTTTATAAAAATCTATACATGTCTAATTAGTTGTTACCAAAATCCACATCCTGTCACCATGCACTCCTACAGGAAGTGCCCCACAGCCATGGACCCTTCTGTGCCCCTCTGCAGAGCTTCTCAGCCACTGCTGTGGGCTTAGATCTACTGCTCACAGGTGTAACCTAATGCTGTCTTTTTTTGCCTGACCTGTACCAAGCGCTTCTCTTCCTGCTCAGGAGAGCCTCTGATGCTCCTGCCTGAGACTCTGGCAGAAAACTGATGGCAGTGATGTGTGAAACCCAAGAAGCACAAGGAGATCAGCCCAGACCAGCATAGACTGGGAGTCTGTGTCTCCCTGGAATCTTCCAAGTAGCAGTTTTTAGCCAAATTTCATTAGGCTCCCTAAGGTTCTGGTATAATCGACATGTTGTAGTCAGAGTTTGCAAGGGAAACAATTTAATACAGGACACAAAATTATTCACATAGTCCTACAAATGATTGTAACAAGTGTTCTGAAGGGGAGAGGCCAGGTTGTAAGGACCTGTAACAGAGTAGCTTCACATAATGAAAGAGATCTTGAAAGAGTTCCCTGAAGATATGATTTCTGTACGAAGGCAAAGGTTGACTAGGCAAAGGGGAAGTGGATAATTTCCAGAAAGCACAGGCAATAGACATATTTCAAAAAAAAATTTGCCCTTTTAAAAGCCCTTTTTAATTACGTTTTCCTGGAGGACTACCCCCTTGAGGTCAATGCTTGTTTTGTTTTACACAAACGTAGACAGAACAGGTATCCAGAAGAAAAAATCATTCCCCAGTTTTGAAGCCATAGTTAGATTTTTGTAGCTATGCAGGATGATTTCCTTTTAGCCAGGCTTTAGGAAAAGAGCAAGCCCTATTTTTGTTGTTGTTCTTATTTTTACTTGTAGGTTTTTTTTTTTAAATTTCAGTAGCTCCTTTTTAAATGTCAAGAGAAAAGTCAGGTAGATTCACATAAAAGCATTCTACTGCAGTCATCCTGAGGAAAGACAGAGAATATTGCATAAATGAGATTCCAACCTCAGCAAGAAAGCAAGGAAAACTTTGCAAAGAACCAAAGAAGAGAAGTTTCGAGAACACCAAGAAGTCAGATCTGAGGTCCTCACTTTCCTGCTAGTTTTTTCACAGAAGCACTGATGCATGCTGGTAAGTGGAAGGTAGAAGAGTAATAACTGGGAGAAACTCTTAAAGGCCAGGCCAAAGATGGTCTCAGACTGTTGTACATACCCCGTTATGGTGGTGCAGAAAAGATAGATAAGGTTTATTGGGTGGAAGGAAGAGAGGAGATAATTAAATGCCTCCTCCCTGCCAAAAAAACAAAACCAAAAAAACTTGTTGAGCTAGAGGAACCCTGAATTTGGAATGAAATGACCACAGAGGAAGAATAACAACAAGGTCATAAAGATGTTCTCTTACATTTTCTTCTAAAAGCTTTTTTGGTTTACTTTTCAAATTTGTACCTTCAGTCCAAATAGATTTAATTTTTATAAATGATATGAGGTAAGAATAAACCACTAAATTCAGCACCACTTGTTAAAGAGGTTTTTCCTTACTGAAATACAGTCCAGCCTCAGTTAACCATGAGATGGCTGAATATTTGCAGGAGATTTATCCTCTATTCGGTTCTCATTGACCAACTTCCCTACCATAGCCCCCATACTACATTGTTTTAATTACTATAGGTTTAGACTAATCTTGACATATGATATTTTAAATTCTCCAGATTCTTTCTCCTTCTTAAGATTATGTTGGTTACTCTGGGTCCTTTGCATTTCCAAGAGAATTTTAGAATCAGTACCTCAATTTCCACAATAAACCTCCGAGATTCTTCTTGGGGTTGTATTGAAACTATAGGTTACCTTGGGAAGAAATATTTTTATGGTTTCATGTCTCCCAAACCAAGGACTTGACATATCCATAAAGGTTTTTAGGGATTTTTTCATTTCTCACAGTAATATTTTGCAGCTTTTCAGCCATTTTTATTTACTCCTAGCTATGAGATGGTTTTTGGCACTATTGTAAATGGTATCATTTTTCAAATTTCATTTTCTATTTGGTTATTACCAATATATAGAAAAATTAACTATATATGTAATTTACTTACAACTGACTAAATTTACTAATTTATTTTAGTAGTTCACTTATAGATTTCTAGTCTATGTAATCATGTGATATGAAAATGTTTGTTTCTTTTCTTTCAGTCCTTATTCAGTTACTCTTCTTGTGTTACTGCATTTCCTAACACCTCCAGAAAACATTAAATGGAAGCATTAGTAACAGGCCTCCCTGTCTTCCTAATCCCAGAGGGAAAAATATGAATATTTCAGCATTTAATATGATGTCTTCTAAAGGCTTTAAAATGGATACCTTTAATAAAATAAGAAAATTCCATTTTACTCCACATTATCCAAGATTTTTAAAAAATCATTAAAATGTGGGGCTGGGGATTTAGCTCAGCGGCACGGCATCTGCCCGGCAAGCACAAGGTCATGAGTTTGATCCCCGGTACTGGAAAAAAAAAACAAAAAAAAAGACAAAAATGTTTTAACTTTTCTCAAATGTGTATCTATTATATTAATGCAATAAAATGCTTTTTCCAGATAATGTGTAAATTGTCTTAAATGACTTTTTAATATTAAGCTACCATTATGTTTGTGAAATAAATCACCCCAGTTTTTATTTTCTTTTTGTTTCTTTCTTTTCTTTCTTCTTTCTTCCTTCCTTCCTTCCTTCCTTCCTTCCTTTCTTTCTTTCTTTCTTTCTTTCTTTCTTTCTTTCTTTTGCTTTCTTCTTTTAAATGTGATGCCGGGAATTGAACCCAGGGTCTTTCCACTGAGCTGCACCTCCAGACTGCTTTTAAAGCTTTTTGAGAAATGGTCTCACAAAGTCACTAAGTTGCCCAGCCGAGCTCAAACCTCAGCTTCTCAGAGTTCTTGGATTACAGGTGTCCACCACCATTCCTGGTTTAATATACTGCACATTTTACCTATAAGCAGATTTCACTTTTTTATCCTAAAGAGGAAAAAACAATAAAAATAGTGATACATAACTTTAAAACAAAATAATAGGAAATTAATAATAGACATTATATTATATATTGTTATCTTCAAAGTAGTTCCTCAGATGAAAAGATACAGGCATGTATAATTGATCAAAAAATATAAGCACAGGCCATTCCTTTCAATGAATAGAGATTAGTAGTATAATTATCTTAGCTATC